CAATAACGTCTCCACAGATGAAAGAAAAAGACATTGAATTAATGGTTAGAGAAAAATACAAATAAGAATAAAGAATAAAATATATTTAAAAATAAGATATAGTTTTGAAAATGGATGAGAAAATGATTATAATTTCTATGAATGTGTGAGAAATCAAATCATTCATTCAAATTGTATATCTAATGAGAGAGATTATAAATTATTGTAAATTATTATGTATAAATTATTAATAAACTTGCAGTTTTGCATAGATTTCAATAAACACAATGTAGTTTCAATGTCTTTCAAAAAATGAAATAAACCAAGTGTTTAATAGTCTGAATCAGACTGGTTGATCATTAATAAACAATTTACACATGACTTAAAACATTAAAATTTTATTCAATTAAATCACATTAAAATACATTACAAAAAACAATGATTCAGTAAAATATTAAAACATAATTATCATTCAATGAGTCGAGACTTTCAATTGTGTTGAAAGAGTGTTTAACAAAACACTGAAAATTACATTTAAATTCAAATCAAATGTAAAGACGAGAATAAAATATAAGAATTTGTTTTTGCTTTATTTTAAAAGAGCTTTTTACTAGTATTTTATATCTTGTATTCAAAATAATAACATTACGTATTAAATAAATAAATATGTTTTATTTGAAAATGCCTTAAATGTGCCCAAAAAGTAAATAATATTTATAAAAAAGATTTAATTAAAATATAAATTAGTGTTAAGTAAAAATACATCAAATAAAAAACACGACACAAAAACTAAAATACTATAACAGAAAAAATGCCTTCAATTAAGTGAATGTGTTATTGAGATTTTGAAACTTCCTATTAATGTATGTTTTGTGTGAAATATTTATTTAAAAAACACTAATTGAAGAAAATATGTGCTTTGATTGAAATTGTGATTCAATACTTCAATACGTGTGTGAAATCATATGAAGTCATATTAAGCGCCGGTCTGTTGGAGTGACTGCGGAACCGATAAATTTCTTTTCGGGAATTTACAAGAACTTAGTCTACATTCACAATATTCCGGTGAAATACGGATCCGTTTGCAGTACTCTTTGCACTGTCTGTCGCTTCCATTGCGGATACACTCGTGTCCAGGACTGAACCAATACGGAAAGTATTCACCTGTCGCTGGATTTCCACCATATCCTTCCTCTGCAAATACACATTTTAATTATACATACATTTCATATTACATTCAGTATATGTTTAACGTGTTTTGTTTGTCATTTAATAGTTTAAAGTTTACAGTAAGTAATGAAAACCTTTATAACTATTGCATGATTTATATTACATATTAAACAAACTGCTCGTTTAATATCAAGATATTTTTATTTTTACATATCCTAATTGGATGTATAAAATATGAATGTAAAGTTGTGTGTTATGTTGGGTAATGGGTTTGAATGACTACTCACTGGTATCACTGCAAAGACAGACCCGTCTGTTGACGAGATTAGTGCCGTCGACGGCTTGGCTCTCATCGACGGTAATTGTTTTGCAGACGCGATCGTTAAAGCCTTTGGCGCTACAGAATGTCGTGCATTGAAATGAGTTCTCACACGCCCTGTACTCCTGGATCGCTAATATTTCACCTGAAAATAGTTGTCACAAAAAAATCAGAATTCAATCCAGTTATGGGATATACTCTCGGCAAACAACCATATGATATGTTATAAATTATGGCAATAAAATAACAATATAAGTTTAAATTTCATTTTATTATTTGTTTTACATTCAGTGATATAATCTTTTTGTTTTATTCACTGCAGTCAAATATATCATTTGTTAAAAGTCTCTCTCTCTCTCTCTCTCTCTCTCTCTCTCCACAGATGAAAGAAAAAGACATTGAATTAATGGTTAGAGAAAAATACAAATAAGAATAAAGAATAAAATATATTTAAAAATAAGATATAGTTTTGAAAATGGATGAGAAAATGATTATAATTT